CGTTAACTATAACACCATCCATTTTTTTTATACAAACTAATTTGATCATGTAGTTAGCGATATCCGATCAATGTAATTTTTTACAGACATATAGTACTCGACGAGTTTTACACATTGTATAGTTCAAATTATCAAAATGAGACCCGTGATGGGCTTCCACGGGCCGAACAACTGAGTGTTAAAATTGCATCCCAACTGTGCAATTTTTCTTAAAAAACACAGCCATAGATCTGAACCGGTCAGATTGACTTGTAATTTTGTGTGTAAAATTAATTTTTTAAATTTTATTACGATAAATAATGATAACTTTTTAAATAATTTTTTGACTTTTTATTTTTTATTTTTACATATGCCAAACTTGGCCGTAGTGGTACATACCATTGTCGTTTTAACTATGTTGCTAGCAAAGAAGAGGTTGATGAGATGGAAGGGAGGAGTGAGTGAGCTCTGCTTTGTCGGAATCACACCGACACCATGTCAACCAAACCATTAATTATCCAGTCTCTAGTCCAGTCTCCTCTCCCTATTTTTACGGAAATGAGCCGTAGCTCGAATTGGTTGGCTCGAATTGGCTCGAAAGAGGAAGAGAAGAGAGAAAGAAGAGAGGAGAAAGAGACAGAGGAGAAAGAGGGAGAGAAGAGAGGAGAAGAGAAAGAGGAGAAGAGCCAGCACCACCGCCGCCGCCGAGGATCGTCGCTATTCGTCGCCGGCCGTCGCTGCTCGTCGCCTCGTCGCCTGCCGTCGCTGCTCGTCGGCTTTGCCTCGCCTCCGCCCCCCGCCTCCAGCCCCATTTGTTGGGCCCCCTCCAGTCCCTCCTCCTCCTCCTCCTCCCCCTCCAGTCCCTCCTTCTCCTCCTCCTCCTCCTCCTCCTCCTCCTTCCTTCTCTTCTCCTTCTCTGCTTCTGATTCGAGCCAATTTCGAGCTCCACCTTTCGAGCTACGTAGCATTACCGCTATTTTTAACTCTCTTTTTTGCATGGGAAGTTGAGTTTAGGCTACAAATAAATCGGTGTGTTTGGTTTGATCTTAGGAGATAATTTTTTTTTTAATTTGTTTGGTTATATATTTTGAAAATAGTTTTAAAGTATGAAAATTTGAAATAATTTAATATTTTGTTATAGTTAAGTAGACGTGTGTAAGAGAAAAAGTGATTTAGAATGAGAAATGAGAAAAAAAAATGATTGATTAATATATAAGAGATAGAAAGTAATTTTGAGTTTTTTTTTTTCTAAAATCACTAAACCAAACAAAATTAAAAAAAAAAAAATTCAAAATTTATTTCTTAAAAACAAACCAAATAAGACCAAATCACATTCACTTTTACATTGAGAAATATTAGGATTTTAAATATTTGTATCAAATATTTCATATGAAATGAAATCGATACGAAATGAATCTCACATTCACATAAGATCTTTAATAAAAATATTGATAAAATATTTAATAAAATCTCTAATATTTTTTTCTTTTACATTACTCACATTGTGTGTGTGAAAGAGAAAGCGCTCTTGCTTTCGTCATTATTGTTCCCACCACATGCCCAATTGATACACAAAACGGCCGTCCAACTTTCTTTTGCTTTGTTGCCTCATCCTTACCGCACATAGTTTTTTTTTTTTTTCTCTTCACTACAAGACAAATATTTTACACAATTCAAACAAAATATTATATCAAATTCTATAATCATTTCACTTTTTCTCTCACAAACATCACATTCAATCACAATAAAATTTTTCTTCAATAATATCTTACAACTAAAAAAATCTACAAAAAAAACTCACTTCCCAAACACCCACATAGATTTTTTATTTTGATAATCGAGTTACACACCGATCAACTATATTTGGAAAATCAATTTCACCGTTCATTAATGAGAGTCTTATTTAAAGTCAGAGTAAATGTCTTGTAAGAATTGATCTCAACAAATTTATTATAACCGGTGAGTATTAAACTTAAAACTTGAATGGAATACATCCCTAGGCCTCACGTTGTACCCACTAAACCAACCTTTTGAAGTTCCTCACTCAATATCTATATTATATATTAAACAAAAGGGGGTTTCTAATCCCTAAGGCCTGTGGGAGCTTCAATATGCCAATCCTAATTTTCTAATTTTTTGTTTTTTTTTAAAAAAAAAAATTAACTTCAGCATTTACTAACTTCTCTCAACCCACAAGACTTTTTGATTTCTCTCATAATATAAATATCTATAATTATCTTGTGCATAGTACGGGTGATAGGCTAGTAGTTGATAATTGAAAAATGGGATGGATTGCTCTCTACTCCTGATTGGAATTAAGGGGTTGTTTGAGGTGTCCTAAATAAGTGTACTTTTTATTTTTTTAGACTAAAAAGTTGAGATTGAAAATATGAATGTTTGGGTTAATTTTTTAACTTTTTATGAAAAAATGTGTATTAAAAAATTGTATAAATTAATGTGTAGGAGAAAATTAGTATTGGGAGTTGTGCAGCCGTAATGGTTGACTTTTGGTGAATAGTGATAACTTTTTAATTTTTTTAGTAACTTTTTGACTTTTTTGACTTTTTTGAGACTTCCCAAACTTAGCCTAAAAAGGTATTATCTGGGAAATAATTCTACAAATACTAACAAGAAAAATGTATGAGAGCTCTAAATTGAGAACTCTAAAGGAACTTTAAGTGCGTGGGTCCCACAGTGATGGTGATGTTTTGACTTATTTTTGTTTGTTTGTTTTTTTTTAAAAAATTTTCTGCCATATCATTAGAGCTCAATTTGAGCTCCAAAATTAGGAGATTATCATTACTGTACTAACAATTATACAACAAGTCAAATGTGATTGGTTGTCAAAAAAATGATAATATTCAAACGTCCAATAATATTTGGATATGGTTACTTTTAGTAAGATCATAAGTAGATGTGATATAGATCATAAGTATGTACGGTAAGTTTGTTTTAAAATAAATGTAATAGAATAAAAATAATTACGATTATTAGATTGATTGTATACATAAAGGGTGTAAAAAATGAATGACTTAAATTATCAAAATGAGACTCCTAATAAGCTCTACAAATCCAAATAATACCTCTCCAGTCTAATTCAAAATTAGCAAGAAGCCATCCATCAAAAAATTATTCACTGCTTTAATTTGACGAGGGTTGCTATATATCACTAGGCGAGTAACTCCTCTCTAGTTTCCCATCAGACTGGAGGGGTTTGCCCACTATGGGCTTATCATTGATTCTTCTTGATAATTTAATCTGTTCTTTTTGTAAAATTTATTAAGAAAAATGCTTGGGAGCACTAATTAGTGCTCCCACTAATTAGGTGGCAGTAGGTCCCGCCATTAATGATGTGATGTTTTAGTCTTGGAGTTATATTTTTTTTTATTTTTTTTTACTTTTTTAATGCATTAGTGCTATTAGTGGTGATGTTTTTAGTGGGATGAATCATTGTTGATTTATTAAACATATTATTCATACAAAAAAATCAAATTGATCAATCATCAAGATAAATGATTTGGATCGTTCAAACAGAACTATGATGGGCCCACAAGACCGGATTGGACCTCTCCAATTCATTCGTCAAAATTCTTCACATCCTAAGTAGATTATTATGTTGCATGTAAGTTTCACTATTCTTAAACAGGGGTAAGTCATACACATATATATTATATTCATTGCATCAATACACTTAATTGGTGAAATAAAGTGATAAAATAAAACGGATAATAAATAACACTTCTCTAATTTGATAGTAATTGAAAATATAGAAAAGGGCCTCATTTATTTATTTATTTATTTGTGTCTTAGGCCAAAAAAAAATGGTTAAACCACATCAGTTCAAATAGATCCAAGGTTAGTTTGCATAGAGTCGTCAAAACAGTGATATATAAATTAAATTTCGTATTTAATGAAATATCAAATCTAACTTCATTAATTTATTATTTTTTTATTTATGTTTGGTATTTATATAAATTTACATATTTAATTAATGAAATTTATTAATAATATAAATGTTCTTTTATATTTTGTTTATTATCTTCTTTTTTTTTTCATAATGTGCATGTGTTTATGTATTTAGGTTTAATTTTCTTTTCACATTCGAGTTTAAACTTGATTCTTTTATATAATCAAATTAATTTAAGTTTGAGTATTTGAAATACAAAAATGTTTGGTAGCCCGAAAAAGAACGGCTCAAATGGCCCGAATGGGTGTTGGCCGGTCGTCTGCCCAAATGACCGGCTGGACATCCGTTCGAACGACCGGATAAAAACTTGTCTACCGCGGTTATCACTTTTGTTGACTGTGGCTATCAGCTTTCTCGCCGGACGATCGGCCAGACGTCCGTCCAAACAACCGGTAAGGTGAAATTTAAGTCATTTGAGCCAACTTCCTTTTCGGACCACCTAGCATTACTCTTTAAAATATTGAACAAGTTAAACTTGAACTCTGAATCTTTACGTTTGACTTAAGCTAAGCTTAGCTCAACTTAAGGAATGGATCACATTTTACCACTCAATTCCACTTGACTTGTTAATGTCTGAGCATTTTTTGTCATCTATTAAATTCTTTTTCCTTTTTTTTCAATAAAAAAAGTTTTTTAAAAAAAATAATAAGAAAAACAGAACCAATCAAATTGCCCTCGAGTCAATCCAAAACCCACCTTACTTTACCCAAGTAAGCCAAACTAGCAATTACTCTCCCACCACTGTTTTCCAATCAAACCCCACATCCCTTCTTGACTTTCAAACACCCCCCTCCACCCCCCACCCCCCCTATTTATTCCATCACCAACCTCTTCCCTATTACTATAATCCAATACTTACATATTACATATATCTCTCCTTCTACAACTCTCTCCCCATTAATACTCTCTGCAAACTAAATACAAATGAGAAACAAATAGACAAATTGATCAGAAGTTTAGAAATAGTTCCTGAATTTTGAATTTGAATTTTTTTTAAGTGAAATTTTAAAATAATTTGGGCAATTTGTATTTTCAAAAAACCCACACCCCCCCCCCCCCCCCCACCTTCTCTCTCTCTCTCTCTCTCTCTCCTAGTACCCTTTTGCATTAAGAGCTCTCTCTGCCTTCTCTGATGAAAATTCTAATATGAGGCCCAGCATGTACACCTTTCAATGCTCTTTTTGCATCTCTTCCGGGGGAATTGGCTTGTACTTTGAGTAGTCTACAAGTACTTCAATTTTAATGCAAAATTTGTAAAGGAAGAAGGGTATGGGACATCACTCCTATCTTCCTTTTTTATTTATTTTGCTTTCTATTCCTCTTTAATATGGCTTCACAGGCGTTTCCTGTTGTGGGTTTTCTCTATCTTACTTCTGCTCCACTTTTTCTTTATTTTTTTTTTATTTTATTTTATTTTTTTGTCCTTTGGGAGATGAGTTAATTAATTAATTGAAATTGAACTGAACACAGGGGTAGGTAGGTGAGGAGGCTGGCTCTATAAGAAGAGATGTTATGTTTGGCTAGTGGTTTCATTATTCATCATCAAGTGTTCCTAAAAATAAAAGAGCATACAAAGGGTTGTTTCTTGTTGTTTGTAAGTTAATATAGCTCTTTTTGGTTGGCTGGTTGGTTAATAGATAGCTATAATTCTGCTTGATTTTGGGCCTACTTCACACTTCACATCATCAAGAACAAACACCATCATGGCTTCATCAAACAGACACTGGCCTAGTATGTTTAAGTCCAAGCCCTGCAACACCCACCACCATCACCAATGGCAGCATGACATCAACCCTTCTCTCATCTCAAGTGGTTGCCACAGAGCCCCCTTCACTTCAGGTTATACTCTCTCCAAGTCTTGCAGTCTCACTTACATTCTCATCATTTTTGGTCATTCAAGTTTCTTTCTATCTCTCTCTCTCAGTTGTTAATGCTGTATTCTGTTGTCACTGACCCCCTCTAACACTTTCCAAGCTGCAAAAAACAAATTTACTATCGACAGAGAAACCGCTCACATAATCAAACGCAATATATATATATATATATAAATTGATATGATTTTAAAAAGTTTCTTAGTAGATAATATTTATATATATATATATATATATTTTTAAAATCTTTTATATCCATATATACTTGTGTTATTGGGGTAATTTGCATAGAAATAGGCTATACAATTTTCTTTTAATTTTTGGTACATGAAAAAAGACTTTACAAAATCGAATTCTTCATTTCAGGTTCTAGAGACCATCCCTGAAAGACACAAATTATTTTAATCTGTTCTTTTCAACTCATTTTCTACACATGAACTTGTTTTATGTTTAGAAACAAACACACATTTTACAAAGTGCTTTGCTTTGACATGTAATCAATCTATGTGTTACGTTGTTGTGAGTCTCAAACAGTCCCTGGAAGTGAAGAAAGAACTCCAGAGCCCAAACCAAGGTGGAATCCAAAACCAGAGCAAATTCGCATACTCGAAGCTATCTTCAACTCTGGCATGGTTAATCCACCAAGAGACGAGATAAGAAAGATCAGAGCTCAACTTCAAGAGTACGGCCAAGTCGGCGATGCCAATGTCTTCTACTGGTTCCAAAATCGAAAATCAAGAAGCAAACACAAAAACCGCCACCTCCAAAACCCCAAACAACCGTCCACCGCCACCGCTCCGTCCTCCTCATCCTCATCGTCGGAGAAATCGTCTCCGAAGATTGCCGATAAGGCGGGTTTTCCGGTTTCTCCGACGGCGTCGGTGAACCAGACTTACTTTCAGAGCACTCCTCCTCCTCCGGGAGAGTTCTTGCCGGAACCCTTGTTTTTTCCGGCTGCAGCTGCTTCTGTTTTTACGCAAGGGTTTTGTTTCCCGGAGATGGGGCATGGGGTTGTTCATCATGTTCCGGTGGATCAGACGGTGGGGAATTGTTCTGGGTTTTTGCTGAGTGAATTGATGATGAATCATGGTGGTGGAGGTGGAGGTGGAGGTGGATATGGGAAGAAGGTTGAGGATGAGAAGATGAATTACAGTGTTGCTACTACTACTACTGCTCCCATTACTAGTATTCCTCACTGCATTGTTTCTCATACCGGTACTAGTGTCACCGTTCCATCTACTATCAGTCACACTCTGGGTAAATTCTTTAAATCTTCAACAGCACATGATTCATTATCTTGTCTAAAACTAGGCTATATACAAGAATGATACTATTGCTAAAGAAATATTTATTTTTTAAAAAGCATTACTATAATAGCATTACACTATATATAGTACATACTATTATTTGGTATATATGGTTCATGATCAAAATGTTGTGATGGTGGTTTATTTTTAAGTATAGACTAGTTCTTGGGTCTTTTGGCTCTTGTTAACGTAATAAAATTAAAACTTATAAAATCATTCTTTATTAATTTTATGTGTACATTTCTATTCAAGAAGTTTGATGTTTGTTATTGGTGTGACAATTTTTCTAAATGGGGGTAGGTCTTATCTTTCCTGAACTTTTATTTAGTTTGGAGTTATTTATTTATTTTTATTTTTTTTAACCATTTGTGTTTGTGATAAGTTGATAACACATGGATATGAAAGAATGTAGTACTACTACGAACATATAAACTGTTTATAGAATTTATACTATGTTTGGATGGAGTGATTTGGTGAGAAAAGAAAATAAATTGAGATATATGTATTTCCTACTTGTTTGGATAATTTAAGTGGAAAAAAATGAAGAGACCTATTTCTTTTATAATCCTCATTTTTAATCTTTCTAAAAATGGAGAGATTAGAAGAGAAAAGAAATCAATAGATTATTTTATTTTTATAATACCAATTTTGTCCCTGTTTATTTTTTTTTTGGTGTGTTTATTTTTATCAAACTAATTTCTATTTTTTTAGAAAAATTTCAAAAACTTGATTCTGAAATTGAAATTAAATAGAGAATACTTACAAATGTATTAACATTTTACAAAATTTGTTCAATGAATCTACTTTTAAAAAATTTATTTGTCTATGTATTTTTTGTGCAATGCTCTATGATTGATTTCTGTATTCGAAAATACATCTTTACTACAATATATGTTTAGTCTTGTTTACAAGAAGATTACAAGCATATATGTGAGCACAGCTTCACTGGGATTCCATGGACATGATTGATAGATGCACACAATTTTTGGAATGTAGTAGAAAAACAAGGGGTGGTATGCGTTTCATACTTGCAAAAGGACGAGGGTAAATTTGTCTTTTTGTCCTGAATTCCCGATCTCATGTCTAGATGAGTGGACGTGTGCATGGCTGGGCCGAAAGTTTCCCCCTCTGCTTCATTTTTGACTACTGCTTTGGTTTCTTATTATTACATTGGTGAGGAGGATGTGATTCTCTGTGTGCAGGTCCAGGTGTTGGCGAATCATGTTCTGCTACTCAGACCAGATCAACGGTGTTCATCAATGATGTGGCATTTGAAGTGGGTGTGGGGCCCTTCAATGTTCGGGAAGCATTTGGTGGTGATGCAGTGCTCATACACTCCTCTGGTCAGCCTGTGCTCACCAATGAGTGGGGTGTCACCCTTCACTCACTCCAGCATGGGGGGTTCTACTACGTGGTGCGCACGTTAACCTCTATCACTTTTACTAAATACATCTAATTTATAAATTTTTTTATATGTACAGCATTGATCATAAAATTTTATGATTGAATTCTGTATATTAATTTCTTTGGAAAAGATGAAACAAGACGGTCATGTGGCTTATTAATAGGTAGAGTCATAATAAGGTCTCTTTTATTAATACATTGATAATATATTTTTTAAAAGTAAATTATAAATATATTTTTTTAGATTTGATGAAAATACGAATAATTTTTTGCGGTTTTAAAATTATATTTACCCTTAAGATTTTTAATTTCATAACAAATCATTCTTTTTAGTAATAAATCATCAAGTCAATTAACAGTTTTTAATAATATTAACAATATGTTTTAATTAATAATTTAGATAATTTTATTATTGTATAGGAGAGCAATTATGAATTTTATTTTTTTAGTTAATTTTGTTAAATAAAAAATTCTAATAAGGGCGTATTTGTAATTTTTCAAATCACAAATATTTTAAGCAAATCTCAAGGAATGTATTTATAATTTATTTATTTTTTTAATGAGAATTGCTGTATATCACATCTCTTCTTTTACCGTTTTGTATTAGCATAGTATTTGGCAATATATTATTTATTTTTTATTAATATCATAGTAATTATTTCAAATAAGAAAACTAATTATAACTTCATAGACAGTGATACAAAAGGCTAACAAAAAATCATGTATATAGATGAATTAAATTTAAAAGTTAATTCCATCAATTAAATTTTATAAAATTTTGACCATTCATTCATTGTTTAATTATTGATGTTTTGTTCATAGCAAATCTGCATAGTTTCAGTCATTTCTTCTTTTTGAAGCATGTGTTGCAGATAATTTAGAACTTTGATCTCAATAGTATTTCTTCTGTCTCCAAAGTTATAAATAATAATTTAATTAATTGTTTTTTAATAAAACACATGAAATCTAACTGTAAACCTTTGCATTTCCTAGTTCATTTATTTGTCTTTCCTTGGATATCAGATTTAGAAGATGTGTGGAAGTTCAAGAGATAGAGGCTAGCTGTTCTTCACTAGGATTCTCTCTCTCTCTCTCTCTCTCTCTCTCTCTCTCTCTCTAATTCAAGGACTATAATGTAAAAGTTCCATGGACTAATTAATGTATTCTGTTTCATGTTAAAGCAATATATATAGGCTTTCGGGCTTGCTATGTAGTGGAGTTATATGAAGCAAATCATAAACAGGTGGAGGATCATTAATGCAATATATTTAAGGTTGTTGATAAACCAAAATAGTCTCTCTCTCTCTCTCTCTCTCTCTCTCTCTCTCTAATTCAAGGACTATAATGTAAAAGTTCCATGGACTAATTAATGTATTCTGTTTCATGTTAAAGCAATATATATAGGCTTTCGGGCTTGCTATGTAGTGGAGTTATATGAAGCAAATCACAAACAGGTGGAGGATCATTAATGCAATATATTTAAGGTGTTGATAAACCAAAATAGGTGTTAATGCATGCATGTGATGTGCACAAAATAGTTTTTTTTTTTTTTTTTTTTTTTTTTTTTTTTTGGAGAATAGTGTGCATAATAGTTGAGAATGGTGATATCACGTTCTTCATAATTTCTGCCTACTTTTGTGTGTTTTGCATATTGCTTTTTCTTCTAGGAAAATTTTAGGTGGTAGTAACTGGAAAAAGCCTTTATTATACTTTTCTCGCAATTAAGGTCTTGTTGCCACCTTGGGCTTCTACAAGAATTACATGTACTAATTAATGTGCTAACTAATATATTAACAGATGATGTAGTATAATTTTAAAAGTTTTTAAGTATTTGTAATTTGCATGATAGTTGGGGTCAGTAATAATAATATAATACTAATTAGTACACTAATATGTACATTAATTGGTGTATGTAACACCATTGCATCCACTGTTGGCCTTGTTTTTAGTATTTTGAAATTTTGCCTTTGGGAATATCTATTCCTTCATTATGATCTCCTTCACATTGAATAACTGCTCTTAAAATTATTAGAGCAATTCCAATTTTACTTATCATTTTATACTAATTAAAGTATAAAAATTGTACATTTATTTATCTAGTCGGTTTTTTACTAATTAAATTATAAAAATTGTACTATTTATTTTATTATTTGTTCACACATTATTTATAAGAGCCTACTAAAATGGTCGAAGTATGACACTAGTATGACACTAGTTTGGAAGAGTTCTGTTGGAAGGTGAACATTAAAATAAGATTACAATAGTCGACGGGGAAGGAGCACGCTTTCAAGTAGATCTTGCTTAGTTTGATATAAATTTTACTTTTCAGTTTGATATAAATTTTACTTTTCAAAAGGTTTTCTCTAAATCGTAATTGATTTTTTTGGAGGATTTATTGTTTTTTTTTCTTCCTTATTGTATGGTTTTTATAGCCCTTTGGAGTCTTATTCTGTATGTTGTTATTTTTTAATATAAATGTTTTTCATGTTCTCTTAAAAAAATGCATAACGCTAAAAACAATTCTTCATTTCTTAATTAATGTATGATTATTATTTGTTTGTCATCTCATGTCAGTAATGTATTGTCTTAAGAGTATTGTTATTCAAACATAAAAACTAGACATAATTTTTAAATTCAAGGATCAATCAACCAGTCACTTTAATATGTTATTTCTCTTTCTTATATCTTTTTTAATTATCAATTAATCATCTCACTTTTTTTTTTTTTGATCAGCAAAGAAAAATTTCATTAAACATCATGAAATTAAAAGTACAAGAAGATGACATGCATTGAGAGAGATTCGGAAGTATAAAAATATCCCTATTACTGCTACTCGCATCCATACAACCAACCCCTAAGCCTCTCGATTTTTTTTTAACCAAAAAAGCTAAGAAGAACTTAACTAGAGAATTTAAAATACAAGAGTCCCCACATACTCAACCCACCAAAAACACCCACGACTAACTAAATGAACTAACCCATCACCCAAAATAAGCTAACAACACTAAACCACTCCTCTGCAGCTACAACTCCCAACACGCCTCTACTGCGTGACCTGACCCAGCACGCCTCTGCTGTAAGAAACAATACACGCCTCTGCACTTCAGCCACCCACTCGAAGTTGCTGTCCACGCCACCTCTAGGTACGCCTCTGCCGAGGAGACACCATAGCCATCGCTGGGAACACCACCCACTGCCGAATACACCGACAGAAAACACCCTTGCTGCAACACCCACTGCCGAGAACACCACTCACTGCCGAGTACACCCACTGCAGACAGAAAAACACCCCTGCTGCAACACCCACTGCCCGGGAACACCCACTGCCGAAACCCACCCCCCCAGGTCTTCTTCTCGCTCACACCCAAAACCCACACCTATGCCTCTGCTGCCAAACTCCACAGACCAACACCCACTGCCAAACTCCACAAAAACAATACCCAACTTCATCCCTCAAACTCTCCCTCGAGGAAGAGCGCACGAGTGCCAACCGGACAGAACTGTATCACCTACAATACCCTTGTTTCCGCCCAAAAACGCACCCCTCAAACTCCTACTCGCCAAAAGCGTTCGAATGAAATCCCTGGTTGCCCCTGAAGAATCGGCTATTATGGCAATGTTGAAACACAAGAGGACAAACTGATGACCAACCAAAGCAGCTCCTAAAGCAAAAACTCACTCGCAGCAACACACCTAGGTGGGAAGAATGGGGGACTCAAGTTTATTGAAAGAAAGAAAATTAACAAGGCTACCGCTGAAACGAGCTAGGCCAGCCGACCGCCATAGCCAAAGGCGGCGGCCGGCCAGCCCAAAAAGAGGCCGGAGAAGGAGGTTTAAAGAGAGAAAAAAGAGAGATTTTTTTTTTTAGAGAGAGAAAGTTTCTATGAGGCTGGCTCGATTCATCTTAAATTGTTTAATTAATCATCTCACTTATACAACATTGAGTCTAGAAAATGAGTAAAAAGTGGACTTGTGTATCATTTTTTCTTATTTTAATAGAACAAGTAGTTGTGATGGTTAAACCCTGTTTGTTTTACTCCAAATATGGTTGAATTGGATTAACAATTCGGTGGATTCTACATAAATTATGTTGTTTTCGAGTAATTATAGTGGACCCATTTGTTTTAGGTGATAGAGGAGGAAATTGGACTAGGATAGATGTGGGATCCACTATAATAGTGTTTGTTTACAAAATAAGGAAGGGTATTCATAGTCCTTGGGACTATGATAGGTCTTGGAGGAGAGAATTAGTAAAAACCTCCAAGGGAAATTCTATTTACACACCACACAGTCTCTCAGTGTACACCATTTATTCTATCCCTCAACTAAATTACCCTTTTAGACAAAACCCAAAATCTTACTCTCAGTTCACACACCACACTAACTACCACCATCACCATCGGCATAGCCACAGACTCTGTCGCCTCCCTCTCGCCGGAACCCTATGGCTAAAGTTTTGAACTTCGCTTCATCTTCGATTTTCCAGCAATTTCTGACTCGAAGAATACCCAAGACCAAAGTTTCAATCAGGTTATCGGCAGAATTCTCCGAAACGCCTCCGAATTCCGCTTCAGTGAGCACCAAAAAAGCACCCAATTTAGGGTTTTCGTTGCCACTCAACTTCAAGCCTCCGCAGTCGAAGCCCTTCTCAATTAGACCTGATAAAATTGTTGACATCTTGGAAGCTGTTCTTGCTCTGTTTTTTTGCCTTGGGACTAGTGTTTTTGTCTCTGGGTGGGTATCAATTTACTCTCTCTCTCTCTCTGGGTATCAGTATTCTTCTGTGGTAACAATAGGAGCTTAAAGAATGTAACTTGGTGTGAGAATTGGTGTCCTAATGCTCGGACATGTGGAGATTTGAATGTGGCTATAACTGTAGTTAGGAAGATAAGGAGGGGGATGGCCTCAACTAGAGAGAGGCAGCGGTGAAATGGTGTTTGCAGGGGCGACGCCAGCGGTAGGGAGATATTAGGGGTAAGGTTAGAGTTGGGATGGTTTGAGTTGAGGAATATGGGGATATTTTAGGAATTTTTGAAAATTGATAGTGTGCATTAAGCAAACACATTTTTTTATTAAATGGGTATATATGGAATGTGGAGTATGTGGACTGAGATAAATACCTAATAATCAAATTACTAAAAAGCCTTAGTGTGTGGAGTGGGGAAGAATATAAACAAAGACAATGTGGTGTGTGGAAATAGAATTTCCCAACCTCCAAGGGTTGGGTTTCAAAACTAGTGAAGGGATTAGCTAGCTTGGAAAAAGACTTTTTTACCCATATTGTGTTTTGTGTATTTGTGTGTGTGTGTGTGTGTTTTTTTTTATTTTATTTTAGTATTATGTCATTATATATATTAAAATATATCAAAAACACCAAAAGATATTTACGTTATTTCATATAGTTAATCCCCTCGCTAAAATATATCACAAACAAATACAATTTTTACCCTCCCTAATAATCTCCCCACTAATAGTTTCCACATTAATAATTCCACCCAACTTAACTTTGAAAACAAAAAGGTTTCAAATTCCCTCCGAGATATTAGTAATTCCGTGAGATTGGAGTTGAAAATATCATTATATCCCACATTAATAATTTACTCAATAATTGCATCATACGTACCCAAATGGACTCAAATATAAAAATTATAATCACTTTTCAAATTTAATGATTTGATAATCAATTAAAATATTCAAGATAACTCTATATAACATATTTTTACTAATTATCAATTAATCATCTTATTTATTTATTATTAGAAAACAGGTCTAAAAATAAATTTTTATATTATTTTCCAATCAAAATTATATCACGGAGCTTTTGTACATAACAACGCCCAACTTTTGACATTGTCATGCCGCATTGTAAATGACAGAGTGACAATGATAGTGTTTGGAAAGTGGATTTTTATATAAGTTTTTTTAGTTGTAGGTTTTTATTGGATAAAAAAATTTTGGTGTTTGGAAAGATAATTATGTTTTTATATGGTTGGATGTGATGTTTGTGAGAGAAAAAGTGAAATGATTATAGGGTTGGATGTGATATTTTGTTTGAATGTGATTTTTTTGATTTTGTAAAAAGTTTGTCTTTTAATGAAAAAAATAAGAAAAAAATTTGGAACCTAAGTTCCCAAACACCACCAATACTTTGCGTTTGATTTATGAGAGGTAACATAATAAGGGCCATGTGTTAAATGATATAGAATGAGTGTT